TCTTAAAATTCTCTTGCCAGAGTAACAATATTCAAACAGCTAGTGCTGAACTTAAAAAAAGTTGCATTTTCCCATGTCTTGCATGGAACATTTGCTAAATAGCCAGCATTCCTCACCTGGCTGCTGCATCAAGCTAGCCTGCACTTCAGTGCAAATCTTAAATAAAATGAAATTAAACAATATTTACTATTGTATCCTTTATGCCATTGTGGGGACAGCAATGCAGACACTAATACAATAATATTTACTTGTAGCATTTGCAGTCTTTACTGTCCACAGTGTAGCTGTTTATGGCAATAATGTATTTTTATTGCAATAATTGTATTATTGTGGACAGTTTGACTTACAGTGTTGGAGTTTTGAGGAGTTGCCAAGTAGCTGAAGTAGGTGGGGTGCAGTAGGAAAGTCCCATTATCTGTGCATAGCTCAATAAGTGATCATTCCATGTGTGTTTTTGGCAGTCAGTGGTTTGCTCTGGTGGATGCAGGAGCTCACTTCCAGGCCAGACCAGAATAAAGTAAATTAAAATTTGCTTATGAAAAGAGATTTGTGCCTTATCTATAGAACTGAAACAAGGGGAAAATGTTTTATTCTCTCCTGAGCTTTTCCCCCTTCCCTTCAAAACACTACAGTATTATGTTGATTTACAGCATTCTGAAAAAATTTAATATTTTTCTCTTTGAAACTGTCCTTATCATGCCCAAAACAGAAGATAATTTGGTTTGGTTTTATTAAAATCCCTTCTGAACTTTTTACACTGTAGCTATTCTTCCCAAATGAGTCATACAGTAACCATTCCCAGTTTGTAGCCAGTTCTCCAAAGAAGCAGAAGAAAAAAGAAACAACTTCCTTTTAAGGGAATGAGACCTGTTTGTAAAGATAAACCTCTTTCCATTTCTATTTGAAGACATTCTCCATAACCCAAGAATTGATAGTTATAAAAACACTACCTACTTTATTTGGATTACAAAACCCGGTCATAGCTATAGAACATTGTTTAATGTTAGCCTAAAGCATCTGTATATACACTTACACATAGGGGCACTGCTGAAATTACACATGCACCATGTCAAACGAGCAGCTAGTTTACCAGAAATCTGCAAGAAACAGCTTGAAAATGCTTTCATTTCATTTTAGTTAAGATTTTTAAACAAATGAGTTTAAACAAAGAGGTATTTAATATTTATGTGGAATGAAAACAGTTCAAGAGGATGTAATTGTATAAGTAAACTAACAGCAATTTCTGTTAAAGTGCTGTGTGATTCCCCAAACTCATCATAGTGCTTGAATGTTCTTAGGATTTGGGAGAATGTCATGCGTTGCTGGGACAATTTGCGTGACCTCTGAAAGCCACAGTTATTTTAATGGCAGCTTTGTTGTGCTTCTACTCCATTTCTGTCCATAGAAACTGTAATGGGTATTTAGGTGTCCTCACTGTGCATTTTGTTCTCAGACTGTGGTCCTGCCAAGCTTATTCCATTAACCCTGCAGAGTGGCAAATAACAGTTTGAAAAAAGATTTAAACATTAAAAACTTGGGGTTACTTGGTTTTTTTACCACTTGTGGGTGGGATAACTTTGCAATCCAGGATATCCAGAAATGTATTCTAATTTTAACGAAAGCTGGAACTCAGGTAAGAACCAGATTTCAGTAGCTGGTACTGAAAGGAAAATTGCATATGTCATGAGAGTCACAATAAATTTTAAAAAGTTGGGCAGACAACCATTGTTATTTTACAGAGTTTTTTTTTAAGATATCTGACTATAGGTAAAATTTTTTTCAAGATATTAATTTGAAATGTGCAAATATGTAATTGCATACAAATCAAAACATTTCACTGGATGTGTTGCTTATGCAGGAAGTAAGAATACAGTTATAAACTAGTTAAAGGTTAAAGGGGAAAGAACCCTGATATTAAATTCAGACACCAAAGCAGAGATGAATTGTTTAGGCTGTACTGCCATCCATTTAGCTCTGAACCCCTGACACTGTAGTTTATTAGAGAGGTGGAGACAACAGAATCCTTTGTCACAGGGATTTATATTACCAGAGGAGCTACAGCAGACTTTTTCTATGTTGTTAAAATAAATTAATCAAAACCAGCAGGGGAGCGTCCTTGAATTACAATGGTTGCATTATTCAGAAACTGTAAAGATTGAATTTTTAAGGAAATCCAAAAGGCATGTAGCTTGGGAAAGAGCCAGTTGTTGCCAATTTTAACAATTCTTAATATAAGAAGCTGGATTATTGTTTCAAGCAGACCTTTGGCACACATTTTCTATGATTTTATTGAATTATCTTCCTCTGAAGTATTATTATAATGTACTAACAGAGACATAATATGGCATCTCTCATCCTAGATTGATCCTGAAGTACTTTCATGATCTTTGGCCAAAGTCTGTGCCAGCTTTAAGACATGTTGGCTAAGTCAAGGATGCAGCCCACACATCCATGGAATGCAGCAATCCTGTAGCAGGAGCTAAACGTCCGTGTAAATGTTAGAAACAATGACTGGGGACAAAACCTAGGACAAAATCCCACTTGCTTAAGTTGCTGAAATTAAACCCCGGTCTCTTCCAAAACTATAAATAATAGAAATAAGGGTTAAGAAAGATAAGTGAAAAATGGTATGGGATTAAAATAAAAAAAAAAAAGATTTTCAAATCTTACTCAGATGTTAGTATAGTAATAAGTTTAAAGAGTTTTCTAAAAATAACAACAAAAGAAATGAGCACATGCAAATGAACAGGATAATCTTGACTGTATCAAACATCTGGAAAATATAAGCACACATGAAAGAGCTGCTCATTTTAAGGATTTAATTTAATAACTCATCCTGTTCAAGAAGATTAACATGTGGCTATAAAATACCTGCTTGCCATCAGATTTCACCCCAACATGGCCATAGAAAAGTTTTAGACAGCCTTAGTTACATTAGTTTAGGACAACAGCATTCCTTTTCATTTTGTGTGGCTACTGTTGCTCCGGGTTTGCTACAGGATATCCTGCATATTTTTCAACTAATAAATGCTGCATCTAACTTGGTCACGTTGCCATGGCCATATGCAACCTCCAAGTAACCTTAGTGAGTATAAACCCTAAACTGTGCCAGATCTTCCTGGCTTGATTTTTAGAGTGAGCAATGCCTTTACTGCATAAGAAAACAACAAACAACTGTATCTTGTACCAAGTGAAGAGGCAGTTTTTGAAAGTACTTCTGAAATGAAGACTCCGGCAGCTATGAAACCAAAATCCTTCTTGTAGCATTTCCCTTTAGATCTGTGGAAAGCGCTTCAACTCCCAGCAACAGTCAAATACTAGCTTTAAAAGATGAGACAAAGGTGGAAGAGGAAGTGAAAATCACTGCCTTCTCCTCTCATAAGCATTGTGCTGCTTTCAGGGCCTGTTTGTGATAGAGAAAACAGTGTGAAGGAACATCTGGCAATATGACAGCATGGTATTCAGGGACCGTTGTTCAAAGGAGTGTCAGAAGCCCCTGGTAATGTCAAAGTCAGTCCAGATCTGCAGCACTAGTCCAAATGCCAAGCACCAAATAAAGGGAGCAGAGGCCGGGAGGAACTTGTGAAGGCACAGCTAAGAAACTGAAAAGATATTTATGTGAATTGGTTCTGTAATGTTGTAATTGTTTCCTGAGCAAGTGCTTCCCTACAGTTCACAATACTGTCTACCCTGGAAATCAATAGGTTCTGTAGCTCCTTATCTCATGGCACTGCTTTTAGCTCTCTGATTAAGAAACCTTTACAGTCAGACAGTTTTCAGCATACTGGTGATGTAAGAAGCCATTTAAAAATTGACTGAAGATCAAGAGGGACATTTTAGGCAACTGAATAGGAATGTAAACATGTACAGTTCTCTTTTTCACCTAAAAGAAGATAATCCGACTCAGATTCCCTCTGAAGACTTTGCTGACACCTCTTATTAATATAATTTTGAGGGAAAGGTCCTGTTCTATGAACTACTAGTATCCTCTCAGGTTCCTCTGGGAAGCACACTCTTCAAGGATTGCGTAGTCTTTAAACAGACGTCACAGGTCAGCACCTCCATAAATTAAATTCAGCGTCAGGATCAGTGTCCAGTTTCCTTTCCTCTTTATTATTTCGCCCTGAGACTTATCTTTTTCTTATTAACTTAAACCTAATAATTAATTTTAAAAACACAGCAAGAGCATTTTAATGTCAGTGTTTCAGAGGCGGTTGGATTTTCTTTTAGCATGGAAGAAACGAGTCAAAACCAGCCAGGAGCAGTTGTGTCAGGATCTGTATTTGAGATACTGATTTAGGGTGTGATTAATGGTGTTAAAATGATGGAGAATCTAGAAGTACACAAGGCCTAGAGGAGCCAAGTGAAAGGGTCAAAAGGAAACCCAAGTACATGACAAATGTCATCTGACCTGAGGGTATGTTGCAAATGTAAAACTAAAGAAATCCAAAAAGGTTCAAGAAAGCTTTTAAATGAAACTAAACTCCGATGTGTAAGTTGTGCCTTAAGTGACATACAGGTATAACGTGGGATTATGTGAATCCCTACAGATGAACACTGCTTTCTGTAGTGCTATGGAACTATAAAAGGACTTGGTAACATATAAATTCTTCTTACAATGATCTGATGGAAACCTATTGGAAGAAGTTTTTTAGTTGGATATCAGACAAGAGAGAGGCACTGCACAAGGGCTGAGGCAATAGGTAACTCCTACAGCTGTGTCTGGCACTGTCTGAATCCAGCATGTTTGATCCAGTCACTAAAATAAATTGTATTTTCCAGCCATTAAAAAAAAATATTTGCATCTAGAGCAGTAAAAGGTTTTGGACAAAGATTTGGTTTGGCTCTCACTTTAGGTGAGCTTGAGTGCCATGCTGTTGCCTAGAACACCTGAAAAGAAAGCATTTTTCATAAAAGGAAGGGTTCCTTCCCACTCTTTTCAGGTTCAGCTGATGGTGCTAAAACACGATCCCGTTTCTGCCTCTCTATTTTTATCCCAGGACCCAGCAGCCGATGAACCATGCTAGGGTTTAATTCTTCAGCGCTGGATGATGCAGGAATGCAGAGGCCTGAATGCAAGCCTGATTTGAACAGGCCAGTGCATCTTTAGTTTCTGCATAAGTCAATTAGCCCCCCGTATCAATTTGTGCTAATTCCCAGTCTCTGCAACTTTTCCAGGCCTCTCATGCAAATCAGGCCTGGAAGCAAACAACAAGTGAGTGACCCAGAAGGCTGGTACGGGGCTGGGCACCATTGTTCTCAGGCCATGAATTTCAGTGCTCCATTTGTTCATGGAGTAACCAAAAAAAATGAGAAGCCACAAGGATAACTACCTCCTCAGGCTTAATTATTGTACCCTTTGTACTGTTCTTCCCAGGGTGGAAAAAGAGGCATTCATGGTCCTCTCACTACATTTGGATTCACTGGATTGTTTTTCACTGTTCCTGTAAATATAGAGGAAGAAAACTGAAACTAGAATGACAAGAGGTTTTAAAGTCAACCCCTTCTTGTAGTCACAAATTGTGCCATGAAATCAGAAATACCTTGGTAGCATTATCCTGGTGATCTGGAAAATGACTTAAAAATGTAGCACATTTAGGAGTTGAATCAGGGTCCTTCAGATGAAGATTCAATCATGGAAAATTTAGTTTGACCACACCTGTACTGATCTGTTAATTTAAAGGTATTGGAGTAAAAATGGGCTCAAGCTGCAAAACTCAAGTAGATTTCCAACACTGTAGCTGTTCAAGGATGGTGCACTTCACAGGAGTAAAATAACCTGAGTTTAGAAGATCAAGTGTTACAGACTGAAGTCATGACTGAAAGTGAGGGCAGAGAAAGAAAAACAAGATAACGAGGAATTTATTAAAACTGCCATTTTAAGATAGTTTAAAATTTGGTTTAAATTGGATAGAAGACCTGGGAGACTTCTTACATCTCCAGGGCTCCTGGGTGGTGTCAGGTTGGCCTGGAAGAAACTGAGGTTTGAGGTAATGTTTTTTTTTATACTTTTTTAGTTATTATTTCACTACATGTATTCAATGGTTGTGTGTAATATTACTACTGAATGCACTAAAATATGGTGTCAAATAGGTGCAGAAATATTTTTCTGTTTTCTCTTTAGAGGATTACAACTGCAGCTTCAGTAAGAGAGCATTAAACCTGGCAACCAAAATGTCTCCAAGACAGATACACATCTGTCTTTACATTCACTTACCTATGATTTTGGGGATTGTGAATAAGAGCACCATCTAGTGATAATCAATAATGTCAGTATCATGAAAAGGTGTTTAATCAGACTGGACATAAAGGCACACTGCTAATTCACTTCCCAAAGGGACTGGGGGGCTTGAAAGGAAATGGAGTCCTAGCTCTGATTTCCAAAAAACTGGTGCCTTTCCCTAGATCCCCCTAAAAATGCACAGTGAATCTAAAGACTAACTTTGACTGACAGCGTGGAAAACATGAGATAACAACTTTAATACTAACATTTTGTCTCAAAAGCCAATTAATTAATTAATTATATATTCTTGTAACAAAACTCTCCACATTTGTGAATGGTTCATTTTCTGTTGATCAGCATAACATACTTATTGCACTGAGTGTGAATTTGGGTGAAACCATTCTAATTTCCTAGGTATCCATTTTTTTTGGAAAGCCAACAATTCTGAATCTTCTTTTTTCAGTGAAGGGTGTCAAACAGCGGCTCCTCTTAAGGATCTTAAGAATTAAATAGTATCACGTGTTAGAATTTCCCTAAAACATCCATGCTTCATGATAGTTTTTTCCCTAACTTGAAGGATTTTACAAGCAAGTCTTACACTACCCATTCTCCAAGTATTATTTCAGTGTGCAGGAAGATCATTATGAATATATGCTAATATAGAAAGCTATTTATTCCTTTCAGATTATTTCCATATGCATCCTCTGTAATTAAATCAGTGGCTTATGGCAGCTGGTCTTTGAAGCGATCTCTGCAAAATAGGAAAATGTAATTTTTGGGACAAAATGCTGATTGCTCTATGCCAGCCACATCTGTTAAGCTCTAGTAGTTCAGAGATTTCTGTGATGAGGGAGTTCATGCAAAGCAGAAAGTTTACTGTATTCCTTTCAGTCCAGGAAAAGTCCACTGGAAGTGATGGGCACTATTCTAACCAAGTAACAAGGTTTGAAGTCCAAGGTGTTGTTTGCCCACAATTTTCAGTGAATTCACTGAAACTGGTGCTTAAGTAAGTAGCTGTACTTGTGTATTTAAATAAAAGTACTACAGGGAGAATGATAAGAGAAAGCAGAGCAAGAATTCCTGGCAGAGATGTCAAGGAATTAGAGAGATAAACAGAGAGATGATCTCTTCAGTGGTGGTGGGTGAGTAAAGCTAATAAAACTCATGACGTGGTTCTCCTTGATTACAGGACATCTTGGAAACACCTGGTATTGTATAGGTATAGACAACCATTATAATTACTATTGCACAATTCTCCATGATTTTTGCAAGACCCTTGGAGCCTTTCCAAAGGGATGCCAGTTAAACTGTCCAAGATGCATCTACAAGATGGGTTTGCCAACACAAGAAATTTCTGTCCAACCCGTCCAGCCACAGCGGTGCCTGCTGAAAAGGCTGTCACCCACAGCTGCTGGGCACTCCTCTCCCTAACCTCCTTGGAAAAAAGTTACATTATTTAACAGTGTTAGTGGGATACCCCCAAGTCTAAGATTTTTTTCATTCCTTCGAAGGGAACGACTTCTGCTAGACACAGCAATCTGTAGTAAGAAGATCCGTAGCGAAATCTGCTACACCCTTCCCAATGAGGATTTTTATTCGTGATATCTGCTTCTAATTAAATAACTGTACTATATTATACATACTAAGACCCAATCCTTTGCCCTTTGAAGTCAATGGCAAAGCTCGCAATGAGTTCATGGGAAAAAATGAAACTCTTTTGTTAAGGCTTCCTTTAGTGATAATTCAACTGTTGCGTTTTTAAAACAACAACTCAGCTTTGCCACCTTTGCCTTCAGACAAAAAGCAGTTCCTGATACTCCTGTACTAAGCAGAGAGTATTAGGAAGGGCAAATTTTATCTCATAAAGTTATGTTCCCCTGTCACTCTGGTTTTCTTTCTTTCTGTTACTGTAAAGTGCCATGATGGACATAGGGTGTCTTGCATTATCTTTATTTTAGAAACTTCCTTGAAATTCAATATTGCAGCAATTTATGCCATACGTGGCATGTTTATGCTACAGAGAACATATCAAATGGAACCAGCAGTATAGAACACCACAGATTATCTGCTCCCTTCGTAGTTTTGACCCATCACCAGTTCATCTGCTAATGAATTGTAATATAAAACATGCTTACAAAACCCAAAGCATCCAGCTTCCTAAATGGGACCACATTTCTAAAATATACTTGCAAAAAGGCAAGTTTATAAAACAACGATTCTCCAGCTGCACAGTCCAGGATGACATAACTCTTTTGAAGCAAAAGGTTATCCATGCGTTCAGTGCCCAGTGCCAGATGTAGGAAGGAGATATCAAACAAAGAAGGAAACTTAAAGGATTCAAAATATATCTCTATAAAGTAGAAAGAAGAGTTGCAGACAGAGTTTCTCTGCTAAACAAGAAATGAAGAGTCCATGCTGTGCCCAGGACTGCAGCACATGATAGAGAGCTCGGGGTCTAAGCCCGCTGGCTCTGGCGAGCTCAGAGCCAACAGGGTTCTGTTATAATTTACCTTCCACATAAGCAACAAATAAAGCAGCCACTTCTTCACTGTTCTTAGCACCCCGCTGAGAGCAAGGTGCTGAGGTGTTTTGGAGATTTTTGGCCATCATGCTCAACAACCAGGTTGTATTGGCAGGTACCCAAAAACCAGCACTTTGATTTCGGTGCACGCTGAAGCGTTTCGGCCTAAATGTGCGTTAGTCTCATCCTAACGTTCACACTGGCTAGGGACTGCGGATTCTAATGAAATGGGACAGATGGGAAAAATTACAGAAAAGGAAAAAGAAATCCACAGTGTAACTTGTGTACATTAGGTTTGAAATTTAAAACCTCCAAGCTGATATCCAGTGGGGTTTTTTACTGCCAGTTTTGTTCCAGCCAATGAGCAGTGCTTGTGAGCACTGGTCGCAATCTAAATGTTATCATTTTTGTCCATAGCTGATTCCAAGCACAGAATTATTCCTCTTAAAGATATCTCTGCAAATTTTATAGAGTGCTAAGCATTTACCTCATGAAATATTGTCCCTTAAAGTAATTTCTGCTCTAAATATTTCTGCTGTAAATTGGAAGAACACTGAGTTGTGTATTTGGAGGAAAGCCCTTCCATGATATGCATAAATTGCTAGCTGTGTCCTCTCAAACAATCTGACACAATTCTAAAGGACTTTGTAAACAGCATTTCCTGGTGTGATATTTTAATATGAACTTGGCTGAAAGTCTTACTATTACATTCACATTCACAATAAGAATGCAATGGCAGAAAATACAGAACAATGACATGTAATAATGCCTTGCAGTGTATTTTAAAAGTTTCCAGTGAAGAAACAAAAAAATGGAGCAAAGCTCTATACAAAGCAGCTAATCTAATTTAGTAGGAATACACTGTTTGGTTTTTTTAGTTTGTTTAGTTGAAATCTGTGTGAATTATGGGGTTCATTCTATTCCATTGAAAACTTGCCTAGCGTGAGAGTTGGAAAAGCATCTATTGGAAATGAGCACAAATGAATCCATGGATCCAAACCATGCTTGTATTTGCCTAAATACTGTGGGCAGCATGCCAAAACCAGCTTGGTATGTTGTCCTGTATATCCAAAACAGGGTATACACTCGTGTGCTAGTTCAGCCTGCAGCTTTTAAACAACTAGATGGGACTTCAGTACTAAACATTTCCACTGGCACAATAGCTGGAATGCAAAAGTTTGAAACTAAGGAATGCAGAGCCCTAACCTTTAGAAGTGCATGGAAAACTTTGGTGGTTAAGGTGTATGATTTTTTTTTCCTCATTGTTTTTCTAGTTAGAAATGGTAGAGTTTTCAGGAACAGTTATTTAGTGGTGTTCTATTTTCGTTAGGTTTGGGGATCCTTACTTTGCTCCTTGGTTTTGCAAAATAAATTAACCTAACCTCCATTAAAGCCCAACTTCTTCCCAGTCTGTCAATGGAAGTTTTGTAATTTACTTAAATAGAAGCCAAATTCTGTCATCTAAACAAGTGCAAAAATGTATTGGTTAGTAAATTGGGTCAAGGCTCATAAGACAGACAAAATTCTCTCCAGAAAAGATAGATAAACCCATAAATTTCCACATAATTTCTTGTGTGAAAGAATATGTAAATATGCCTCACAGGATGTTCTGAATATCAGCAAATACCGTCTGTGTAAGATGGTCTGAAGGGTGAATTTGAGAGTATGAGTCTGTCCGGGCTGCAAAAACAAACTATGTTTGGAAATGTATTAGCCAGCAAATTTAAACAAACACTTTTAAATACAGGCCAAGTAAGGCAAGTTGTGTTTAAAATCGTGTAGGTTGACTCTAAACTCCCCTCCCTTGGTGCCAAAGTTCAACCAGCATGTTTTAAACATGGCTTGCTCTGTTGAGTGCTATTGCACAAAGTTGTGTTCAAGTCGTTTTTGAAATGTCAATTGATACAAACAAGGCAGTATCAGCAGGGTCTGTGAGCTCAGTGCTGAGCCTTTACACAGCACACATTGGCATTTCAAATACAGTGGTGTAGATAAAGATCCTACT